AAAGCTGTTCGATCGCTGTAATCTCGTCTCTGGGGAATTATCCGAGAATAACGGCTATTTTATTCGGATCGTCCTGGCCTCGGAGAATATCGAGAAATCCGGGTGTCAATAAATTTCCATTGCAAAGAGTCATCTTGGAATAATAATAATTTATAGGCAACCGCGTGTATTGTGAATTACAATAATCTGGCTACTGTGTGCCTTGGGGGTCGATCCGGGGGCCTAGTAAATCATATAGTATCGTGGATGCGGTGCTTGGAGGTAGATACCCTACGCGAAACCAGTTCCATTGTAACGACGGTAACAGAGGGGCACACCCGGGGCTGTAACGAACACCGCCAACCTGCAGGACCACTGGCCATGCCCGATACATGCCCCACACAGGGTCATTCACTACATCCACGTCATGTACATGTACATACTTTGGCCGCTCTTCCGACGATGACCCGAAGAAGCTCTTTCATTCAGACAAACGACCGCCCGCACAAAGCCCGACCTAAGTGACTAGATTAAATTACCGTTTTTTTTTCTCATCATAATTCACAACTACAATTTTTTCCCCGACTTATTAATAAAGCCGCGTGAGCCCTGGCTCGCTTGACGTTAAGTGCGACGAAGATTGGCATGTCGCCACATAGAGAACCCGGACGTGCAGATGAATCGCGACTTCGGATATCGTTGGCCATTCGCGTACACCTCGAAAATATAATGTTATTTCTATCTCGACTCGTTCCTCGGCAACGTAGACGGAAGCTGGAGGCTCCTCCAGGTGGAGTGATCAAAGGTCTCCGCTAAATGACGAAGAGGCCGCCATTCAGGAACTTCACACGGGCCCGTGGAACGCGAAGGAGAGGAATGTACCGTCCATCAATGAAGTTCGGTATCCGGCGTCCTGGAAGTTCTGGGAGCTCCGTCGGGCCAGCATCCTGGAAACGAAGGAGTTGTGAACTCGAGGCGCGGGATTTGCTCCGGAGCTCGTCCTCTTTATCGAGCCGCGGGAAGACCTACCGTTAAAGACAACGTCCCGAGTCGCTGTGTACAGGAGCGGCTTTAACGACCTCCGTTGTGCGCTCGGAAGCGACATTAGCGCCTTTTCACGGTTCCGGGAACCCGTGCTGTATCGCCCCTGAGGGCTCTGTTGACATCTTTTAAAATGTCAGGATAGGATTAGGAGATTCCTGAAGGGATTAAACGAGCTCCGAATCGGGTCGCGAAATCTGCACGCCGTCTCGGTTGTGGAATGTTACCACTGAAAAGAAAGAAATTCGTTCCACGTCAATCATTTGAAGGAAAAAAATAAAATGAAAACATCTGTAGTTAATTTTATGATTTACCTGATTATTGCTGGCGTTACACGTGTACCGCAGGACCCTCGTCGAGGTTAAGGGCATCACACCTCGGAATGAGAAGGGCCTCGAAAAATCCCCTCAAAATGCAAGGCACGTCCCTCGGTCTTTAAGGCGGTGGCATTGCGAGTCCGACCTAACGAAAAGAAGTGACCAATTAAAAGTTCCCGGGCTACGAAGCTGGGCCTCAAAGTGCTATTAAGGGACAGAAGCGGGGAGAGAAAGGGCGAGAAAACTCGAGAGGAGAAGGGGACGGAGGGGGAAAGAAGGCTGGATGAAACGACGGGGGCAGAATGGAATACTTAAGGTATATGACAAGGTTCCTCTCCGTCTCTTTTCAGCCATTAATGTACCGAGTGAGCTAATAAAACCCCGCCGTTTCCCATCTTTCCCGTTTCGCGGAGCCAAGTTCTCCTCCTTTTTTCGAAACGCTTGGTCCTTCCTCTATCCCTCTTTTTTTTCTTTTTTTTACTCCAACAACCGGGCGGAATATAACTCCCTGAAGACGGGGCGTTCTCGTTGCGGTGGAAAAATGTTATTGCTACGGGGAAGATTATTCGAGAGGGTGGACGAGCGCACAGGGATGTTCCGTCAAATCTGGAAAACCTGGGAAAAGGGGCCCTAACGGGGTGACTACTTTTTCCCCTCTCCCCTCGAGGCTTTTTGTCCGGAACACTCCGAAAGGGAGGGCTACTTCTTTTAATTTAAAATTGCACTTGCTCTCGCATCCTGCACCCATTGTTCCCCGTCCAATCTTCGCAGGGATTTACCTTTTAATTATGTCGAAGGAATTATTTCCAGAGAATGTCGACGGAGCATTAGGAGCATTCGATCCTTTCTCGCGTTTCCTTCGGCTGGAACAAGAAGGGAATGTCCTTTTTAGCCCCTGTTGGGCGTACCGTGAATCGACGCTTTGAAGTTGGAGGTCCCCGGGTGTCGGAACCGTGTGCTCCGTAAAGGCAAGTGTTTCCGCAAAAGGATTGCCAGGAGGTGCACCTGAAATGCTTTCTGTTCCTGAAAGCATATCGACAGCGATCTGCTCGACAACGCCCCGTTCCACGATTTATACCTCCAAGGTGCAGAAATTGTCCCCGGGCATGGAATGTGCACTCCGGGAGGTAGAAGATCATAACTGTAACGTTTTCTTAAAAACTGCGTAATAGGCACTTAAACGACCTCCTCCTAAAGGTACCTTTCCAGCATTTCAGCGACTCTCTAGATCTCCTCATCCAGTTACCAAATTTGACAATACAATTGTCTGGTCTCTTCTAAATTTACCAAAGTCCCGTTTTACCCAGACTGTCAATTATTCGAGAGTAAATGCGCGTTTTCGAATGCCTGTTCCAGGATGTAGTCTATAACCACTTCCTCCGTTATTGGTCGACCAGTTGGGGTTGACCAGCACCACGTATTACAATACGAAGAGCTATTCCAGCAGTCACGATCGACAATCGGGTCGATGTTTCCCAATATACCCACCGAGGCTCTGAATTTTTTACTCCCCTCCGTTCGCGATTTATTTCCAACTTGCGCTTGCCTCCATTCGTCTTGCGAATGGGAACTTCGGCAACCATTTCCAGCCGCGACGAGTTAATAATACGAGTAGGAATAAATGTCCTCCCTAACATACCTTGCGGAACATTTAGCCGCATCGATTGAGGAGTGCCTGGTTACGAGTCGTTACGTCGGAAGGAACTGCCGTGAGCATCAAAGTAACGCTGTCAAAGGCAGAGGCTAATTCCTAATCAAGCCAGGTAAACAGTCTTAAACTCCTCCTCGAATCTCCTGGAACAGGATATATATAAACAGAGAAGGTGAAAGAAGTCCGAGGCAAGCACTCGGGGGCGTCGAATTCCGCGCCGCAAAGTCCACGGTACCTTTGATTCCCTTGATTGGCGGAATTAGGTCTAATTTTGGCCTCCATTCACGTTTGTCGCCGCCGTAAGAAAGCAGCATTTATAGCAGCGTGCTCAGCGTACTACCATACCCTTGAAGAACCTTGAAATAAAATTAAACGTTATACATTACGCAACCAACGTCTCTCTCCATACATTCCCATATTTATATATTTCTTCCCCGGATCATCGGAATTATTCACCGTCGGTCGCGTGACATGAATAATTCTCACGACTGTTGATCTAATCCGGAGAGAATATCTCGAGTATGAACAACATGCCTGGCACGTATCTCGTAAAGCGACGTACGAACAATTACTTCGGCGTAGCCGATTCTTTTTTTTTTCTCCCCTACCTTCGTCTCGGACAAAAATGGCGATCGGCAAGCGGCACACGTTATAGCTTCTCTCGAGCGGCAATAACTCCGTCGAAGCGAGCAGCCCGAAGTTTTAATTAGTTCGCCGTCCATCCTAGGGAGGTCCAACGTACTTTTTGCCGGATTGAACCCACACGGCAGTGCCCCGGGTCGAGGAAGAAACGGAAGACGTCAATGGCGGCGACTCACCTCGGGGGGCAAGCACGGCCTGGCGCAGGTTACTGCCAGAAACGCCGGTAATTACGTCGAGGGTATTATTTTCCGAGGGAAAGCGGCGCACCGAGCGGGCTGGAAAAGTGCCTATCCTAGAGAGAGATGCAATAAACTCACCGTGACTGTCCTGCGCGTCGCCTCTACAGGTTCAAACTCGCGGAGGCCGCCATCTTGGTTTGGGACTCGGCGGCAGCGCGTCGGCGATCCCAAGGGCGAAATATCCCCTGAAAACGTAAACGAAAGCGACCCATCGGCGGGAAAAACGAGGGTTTTAAAGCCATCCCCGCTTATACAATCGCCCCCGCCCTCGGGCGGGATTAAAATCAGTGGTCGATCGATCTTAAAGTTCAACGGAAAGTCAAGATCGCGTGGATCGGTCGGTCGATCGCTCCCGCGGCGGCGCTGCGAAGAGGCTCGGCGGCTCGGCGAAGGCGACCGAGCGGCGACGGAGACGGCCGAAGCGACGAGCCCTCGCCGGCCGCGCGGCAGGCGCCCCACCACATCCAGTCTCGCAGCGAGCGTCACGCCGTGTGCTTCGAAGGTGTCTCGGGGGTCTGGTCTCTCGGCGCGATGCCACGCCGCCTCGCCGTCTAGCCCGTGCCGTTCCCTCCTGGCAGCCCTCCTGGTATCCAATCTATATTTCCGCTTCTTTAGCCCGTATCGAAGTCAGTGAACGTCGCGAACCGACTCGCGCCCGCCGGTCGCGGTGCGCGCCCCTAGCGGCGGCCGCCGGAACCTCCACTAGCGTTCAAACTGGTTCAAACCTCGACGATTTCCCCCGTTTTCGCGTAAGACCGCCCCTCGAAGAGAGGATTCGTCGAGAGAGGACCCCTTGCCCTGACTTCGCTGGCCCAGTGTTCCCGGTTCGCCGCGATGCCCTCGAGGTGAGGCCGCGAGTGAGTCGCGATGCCCGCGTCCTGGACGCCGCCCTGCAGCCTGTAGGGTCCTTGGCTAGCCGGCAGCTGTGAGCGAGGAGCGCGCCGGCCGTCGGTGGGTACCTCGGCCGCGTCTTCGCGTGCCCTCGGCAGGGGTCGGCCGCCCGCGCGATGCAGTCGGCGGGGGCGGGCTGGGCCCCCGGGGACGGGGGCAAGCCGGTGCCCGGCGAGTTCCGGGGGGCGCGGCCGGAACCCGCGGCCAGGGCCGCCCTCGGATGGGCCCTCTGCACCTTCTGCGTCGCCAGCCTCGTCGTCTCGGGGGTGCTCGCGTACCGGGGGGCCGCCCTAGAGGCCAGGATGGCGTCCCTCGAGGCCCGCTACCAGGAGAGGGCCGACCGGGACGACCTCGCCATCCAGAGGCTTCGCAAGGAGGTCCAACACCTCCTCGACGCCGCCCTCAAGGCCGACGAGCCGCGGAGGATCAAGAGGGACCTCGTCTCCGAGTGCAACTGCCCGCCAGGTTAGTGGTCACTTGTTGAGTTCTCATCCTTGCGAACATTCTTCAAACATCCCTGGAACCGGAACAGATTTTACCACATTTCATGTAACTTTATGAATAAACTGCACCTACCCTGCTACTTCATGTCCTGAAAAATCCGAAACAATTTCCCTGGATTTTTGGACATTTTTTTTTTTTTCTTTTTTCTTTTTATCACGATCCTTGAGATCGACCGGCGAAAAATTTTCATCCTGGGGGAGGGTGGAGAAAATGTTGGGATCTCCCGAGAATTCCGTGGAAATCCCGCGAAGTCTCGTACGTGGAACCTGGAGGTCGTCCTCCGGGAGGACCGTCAGGCCGAGCTAAGTGCCGCGGCGCGTTTTATTACCCGCGGGTACTATTTCGGTAGGCGGCAGCTGCCGGCTGCCGATTCCCCCATACAGCCCCGGATAGTGATTTCGCGTTAAACCGGGTCCTAGGAAGCGCGATGCACCGAGGATGCTCTCGCTGCGGCGCGAGGAGACATCTCGGTCGCCCTCAAAGTACCGACGCGATCGTCCTCGGATCGACGCGATTCCGCCTTTATCCACGTTCCCGATATATTATTTATGTCCGTGCGCAATCTTCGGGGGCACTTCCCCCGCGGTTTCCGGAAGGTAATGACACTCGCGGCGGATTTACTCGAGATGCCCCGCAAGGAAATGCACCCTGGCAGTGGGATTCATCTTATCATCGTATCCTTATTGAATCCCACGGGAAAGTCGAGATCACCTTCGATCTCGCGATCGAGGAAAGCTTTGGCAAAAAGTCGGAATAAATTGGGAAAAAACGGCGATCCCGGGCTCGGGAGAATTTCATCGAATTACCGTGTATGCTCGGCTATGCGCCGGGAATATTAAACCGGGGCACCTCCTTCCTGCGTTTCGTACACCGCGGGGTAACGCGCGTATTAGTGGCCCCGACGACGTTACATGAGCTACGGGACAAATTACCGGCATTACGATGTAGATTACAGTCCTCGGGCACCTCCTGGCGGTGCTACGAGAGGTGCACCGGACGTACCTCCTTGCGTATTTGCCGTATCGAGGCGCACTCGGGCCGACGTCGATAAAGGACTTGCCGCGATTCAAGTCTTCGGCGTCTTGGAACTTGGGGGGATTGCAGGAATTGGGAGACTATGTGTAATGGCAGAGTACGACGTTATGGCGACAATGTGACGAACTCGCTGGTGGATGCATTTTGGAGCTCCGTGCGAACTCTTAATGGTCGACGCGATCAAGGGGTGGTTTGGTTTTTTTTTTTTTTTTTTTTTTTTTTTTTTGTAGGGTTTATTTGCAAGTTATTTTCGGAAAGGGAGGTGTCCCTCGACCCGGTTGAGAGTTTCCCTTGGCTCGCGCCGCACGTGACGCGCCCTTAACCCTTGAGTCAACTCCCGGAGGGGCGCTTAAAGTGTTTCGTGTTTATCGCGACTCGGGATCCGCCGCGAGCGGGGTTTACGATTTTCGCCTCGCTGCCAATCGTCGACTCGAAACGACAACGGGGCCCTTTCTTCGGAGCCTTGGGCCCCATGGACACCATGGGACGCCCGGACGGAATGGAGATGCTATCGGGGAGTAGAGAAAAATTAAACGATAACGCGCCGGACTGCAAAGTGCATCCGTGCAGTCCGGGCATCCTTGATGCCGTGCATCCCTTAGGAAATGCAGGTGCGCCATGGTGACCGTGAAAAATTCGCCTACTCCTGGGAAGCGTCTCGGCAGATGATAGGGGAATTCTCCCGCGATAAGTTCCTAGAAATTGGCAGATACCCGCTAAGGAAGGAAGGAGGTTTCCTAGGGATTGGAGCGAGGTGGAAAACCCTCTCGTTACGAGCTCGGAGGGAAAGTTGGGAAAGAGCGAGAGGGACGCGCCACCGTCCTCGGCTCCTACTTTTCCCTTCCTCTCTTCATTTTTTTTTTCCTCCCCTTTCTCTGCCCCTCGCGACCTTTCCCTCCCGCGCGGGCTAAGGGCATGCTTTCCTTTATTGCTGTCTCCCGTGACGGGAAAATCGTGACATTTGGCGCCGTGGAAACGCGACGTGCCCAACGTGCCAACCTTGCGGAATCCAGCGACCCGACCCCGCCGTCGACGCGGGGGGTCTCCTCCAGGAGGGAGCCCAGAAGGGGTTACTTTTATCTCGGATCTCCTCTTTCTTTTTTTTTTTCCTCCGCGCCCCTTCCTTTCCCCTCGTTTCGTTATCCTTCCCGGGCGAATGATAAATCCACGCCCGGTGAAATTATATTTTTCTCAATTTTTTCCTTTCCCTCTCCCTCTCATTTTTTTTTTCTCTACGCAATTTTTCTCCCAGTTCTTTTCGCCGGGCGACTCGACACCTGGTGGAGTCCCTCCTTTTGGCGAACTCCTGGAGGCGGGGGCAAAGTCTGTCGCTAAAACATCCTCGCTAATTCCTCGCCGAAGGACGTCGGGTCGTCACGTGACTCACGGGGGTCCTTCCCCAGGATCGGGTCCTTCGCGAGGGTCTCCGTGAAAATTGGAGCCTCTCACGTTTCGGGCCACCTCCGTCTCGGCTCTTTACATCGCGGCCCTATCACGTCGTATTTCCTTACCGGAAGTACCTCGCCTAGGGGTGGCGACAGACCGGGCCCCAGGGGTGACGGCTTGTCCTCGGTCGACACTCGGGGGGGAAGCGCATCTCTCGAAACTTTGGCGAAGACGAAGTTGCGTCGGGCGTCAAACTCGATTTCGAATTTTCCTCCCGACACCTGGATGGCTGTCCTCGCGCTTTGCGATACGGTATCGGTTCCTCGAGAGTCTAGCTCGACGCGCCCCCGCGACTCCGCGAATTTTCGGAATTTCTAGAATTCTGGATTTCCCGACGCGTCGGCCAGTGGTAGGCGGTAAAGGTATCATTTGCTGCCTTTTCTCCCCTGGTAGGGAAAATCCCGGTCGGTCCGTCTGATCTTTTGGCGGTCGAGGACGGTCCCGGCGTGGAAGTCGAGGTCGACCTCGAGCCCGGCATTCGGCATTCGGGATGGCTCCTCTGAAAGGAATCCGAGGGCGCGCTCCGGCTCGGCGAGTCGTTGAATTTGCATGAATCGAGGTCTCTCTCCCTCCCTCTCTATCTCCCTATCGCTCTATCCCTCTCGGGCGCGACACGGTCTCGGGCTTTCGGCGTGCTTAAATGTCGCTTAATTAGTTCACGCAGCGAACGGTTCTCGGGGTTTCTCGTGTTCCCCCCCGTTACCCCTTGGCGGCGACTCGGTCGCGGTGACACGGCTTGGCGCGTGCAAGCTCGAGGTCAAAAGCTGTTTGCTCCCGACGTGCAAGTTCATCCCCGCCGCGCTGGGAATTTAATACTTTGCCGGCCTAGAGGGGGGGGAGCGGGAAGTCGGGCGCAAACGACCGCGTGTAATGAGCCGCATCCGAGGAAAACCGGCCGCGGGTTACGGAGGAGGCCAAGGAAGAGTTCCACGGGAGTTGCACGGGAGTTGCACGCGAATTACACGGGAGTTGCATCGCGAGTTACACGGGAGTTGCGCGCGAAATACCCGCCGGTTATCCGCTCGGCGACAAATATCCGCGACTCCGACGGATCTATTTTTTTTTTTCGCATCCGGTGATTTTTCGAGAAAAAAAGAAATATCCCCGAGTAGAGCAATAAATTGTTATCGCGATTGACCGGCCCGGTGGTTGGATGTTTAAAATGAACTTCGGGAATTCGGATTTTCCGTGCCGGGGGGATCGGGGTTAAACCCTCCGCGGCGGTAATTATTCCCCGCGTAATTGGGGAAATGTTTGACGATTATTTCCGCGGCCGCCGGGTGCAACGATAACGCGAGACAGCCGATCGAGCCGGATCGATCGAGCCCTTTGAGGGATACCGCCGAATTTTGGACGCATTCCGGCCGATCCGCGACGGGGCCGACGCGTGCCGCGACGTTTCGACCACCGAGACGCATCGCGCGGGGGTGTTTTTTCATCGACCGGGGTTGTGGTTAATTTATTACGGGAAGCGTGGAAATTGCGATCCGATATGCTTACCAGGCGCATCCTCGAGGTGCACTCGTACTTATTTCCTTTTTTTTTTTTTTTTAAGCGAGTTCACCCCCTCGTCGAATTATCCTTAGGGGTCGGAGCCGCGTCTTCGGACCAACTTGGACCGCAAAGCGCATTCCCAACTCCCTCGGAGTGCAAGTCCGGCGACCTGCACTCCCAGCTCGGTGCACTCGCGTAAACGTTTCGACATCCCTTTGGCCGGACGGATCCGCAGAAACGCTCGCGGCGGGCCGCGTGCAGGCGACAAGGGCTGGCCGGTACAGTGATTCCGGGCATGAATGCAACATTGGTAATTGCATCGGGGCCGAAAGGGTTGCTGGCCGGGGTTCAAAGCCGCTGCTAATCGCTCAACCACCGTGGTATCGACTTCGGCTTCCGGAACGGTCGACTCCTAGGCAAAATCCCGTCCCCCGGGTTATGTTGCGTTGGACACGCGGCCCGGAATTCCGCGTCAGGAGGTTCGATCGACCTGGAGGAACCCGAACGGAGGGGAGGAAAAATTTCCATTCACCTAGTAGGCCGGCTTTCAGCGGTCCCCGTGCACTTGGCGCGAGACGCTATCCGCCACCTGCGGCGCCTGTGACGGTGCATCGGTGCATCGGTGCATCACCGGTTGTTCCGTAGCGCCGGGTCACTCCGATCGGTTCTCCCGCTCGATTCGAGTAGATGCATTCGCTGGAGGCCTCGAATCGCCGGTTCACGGTCCGTCGCCTCTGTATGCATCGGGGGCATCGGGTGCATCCCTGGGACATAGAACACACGGCGGATGGCATGGTTGCACCTCGCGACGCGCGTAAACCGTACGCTATCGAGCCACTGCTCGTAATAATTGGCGTCGGGGCGCGTTCACGCGGAATTATGTCGCGATATGTACGAGGGCCGCGACGCGGAACCGCGGCCCGATTGATTATCCCCCGCTTCTTCCCGCTTTTTGCCGCTGTCTCCAATTTTTTTCTCTCGCTCTT